TCAACATGTTTTACGGACGTGGGCTAAACCAGGACCAAAAAACCTGATTGGTCGCTCTATTATTATCCAATTTAAAACACTTATTCATTGAATATTCTTTTTAACCTACACTTTCCCATTTTAATTTGGACATCTGCTGTCATAGTAAAATGTCTTCAATTCGAAAGAATTTCATAATTTCCTTACTTTTTTATTTTATTTGTATTATTTTAAATATTCGATTTGCATTTGGAATTAGAATATTTATCTCATTTAATTCTTAATGAAGAGTTAAAATACTAAGCTTATTTAGTTTTCAATTTGAAACTTATGATCTCAATTAGAATTTATTTTCAATTTTAGTACTATATCTTCTAATTGAAGGTAACAAACAGTGGTTGGTAATCCATTGGAAAATCTTCGATGTTACTGATTGAAGTTTGCTTTCCCGTATGCATTCTCTGTGTGTGTGTGTGTTTTTTTGTTGTTTCTTTTTTTTGGTAATCATTTACGCTTGGTGACGACACCACTTATCTTTGTGCATTTCTTCTGTTTCGTTTGTATATATGTCTTTCTAATTTCTAGACTCTCTTTTAAAAGATATCCTTTACACATTGTTTCAGGTACTTACCAATTTCTGATACTGTTTCTAAATTGTACTTTTACTTATAATCCGCAAAAGCTAACACAGCATATATATATTTTTTTCTGAAACAGAATTATAGAAACTAGTTCATTCAGTCGTTTAATTTCAGCCACTGGAAAAATAAGAAAAATAATATTGCATATTTTTTTGGCGTCATACTTTTGTGTGATTAAATATCTAAAGACATACAAGGAAACATTTTGACAATGCTTATCATATCGAATTGTATCATATCACCATATGATGTTAGAGAGAAAAAAGATGCGTTCTAAACATACATTTTCAGATAGAAATTCCTGGATATTTACGGACATGTTTGTTTTTTATAAACTCTAAAAAAAGGGAGTGTTCATTAACTCTAACGTGTTTAAGAAAATTAAAGGTAATTACACCATATCTATAAATAGAAACAGAAGTTTCAAATTTAAATTCCAGTTAATTTTTATTACACAAGAAAACTACAGTTTAACGTAAAGTTAATTGAAATCGAATTCTTAGGGCTTTACAATTTAACAGCATTATACGTAACTCAGAAAATACGACGGAAAGTAATGCTTTTTTGATGCATGTCCGATCGTTTTAATGTTTTGCCGGAAGGAAAGAAAACACATAACAATTGTTAGAGCATCTTTTGTGCAACCCTTTCTCTAATTTAACAGAAATAACAAAGTAGAAGGATTATTGTAACTGTTCAGATAATTATTCATTTAAAGTTAATTTAATTGGGTAAATGTCTGCAGTAAAGGTGAACAATTCTTGATTTTTTTAAATCAGAAATACTATCAAGATTACACTTTGTGTAATTCAATGTTCAATTATGTGTAATTCAGATGGATTTTTATTGAGTTTCGCCAAAGCCTTTTATTCATAAAATCAATCTGCTATTCCTGGGACAAAATGTCTGCCCTTTAGAATACGTACAATCTTCTAATCAACTTTATTGTCGACACATCGCATGTGTAGACCATTTCTACAACAGAGTTAATATATTCAATCATTACTTGTCACAATACATTAAACGTTTATCTATTATTGTCCGACGAACGTTTTATATGGGTTGCACAGATATATATATATATATGAACTCTGATATTTTGAGGGATCATTTGATTCAATAACAAACATCTGTTTGATATGATGTTGTTGATGCTAGTCGAGTACAAAAGGTGAAGAAGGTGGAAAAGTCATAACTGTTGACAGAAATTAAAAGATCATATTAAGCACGTAATGTATCTAATTGCACTATTTTCGTGTTTGTTATTAAGAAAAATAATAATTGGTTGTTTAATAGTTATCAATAAAAGGTTAAAAGGACTAGCTGATTAGTTGTAGAACATTAAGTCGAAGCCAAACAATAAATGACGGGATTTGTGTGTCTTATGTAGCCAACACATAGAAGCGATCTTCAAATGTTCAGAGCAGGCTCGAAGCTGAAATGTGGTAATGATACAATTGTAAACTATTTGACTTTCCGTTGGGCCTTAGGCTTTTAATATAGAAGAATTTATAATTTCATTCTGTGAAACTTCCACGTGTAGTTGTATTGAGTACACGAGGTTCAATTTCGAATTTCTACTGTATTCACGAAGTCATGTATTGAAGAAAGAATCTAGTAATATTTTATAAAATTTCTCCCATTTACATCACAATTTACCAAGAAAAAACATATTTTATTTTATGTTGAGGCCTAGTCTGTTCTTTTGCTGTAGGCATTTGATTGCACAACAGTAAAATGAAACTTCGCTCAATTCCGCATACAATTATAACAATCCCTTTTCTTTTAAATCAAACACTACAGCTTGTCTGGAGTTACTAAAGTAAAATGAGAATATACATTTTTTATTAAAAAAACTATCTTTATTTAACAAAATTCGAAAATAAAGTAAAGCCTACTTTTCGCATTAATTGTAAAGGAATATTTGCAATTCGTATCCTAATCGTGTGTCCAGAAATGTGTGGTTTGGAAAGTATAAGACAAAAATAATATTCTATTTATGAGATTTTCTTTTTCAGATGTTTTTTTTTTTTTTCTGTTCATTTTATCGGAGTCTTAAGTCTTATCTTGAACCTGCTTACATTTTTTGTTGTTTTTTGTAAATTCAACATGTCTTTGATTTCGACCAGAGATCTCGTAAAGCTGATAAAACAGTCAAAAACACCTCCGCGTGCGGGATTTTTTCGCTGTGTTGAAGAACAATTGGTGGCCTTTGGCTGTTTTCTGCTCTTTGGTCGGGTTGTTGTCTTTTTGACACATTCCCCATTTTAATTCTCAATTTTATTTCTTTATTACATGTTTATATCAAGATGAGGTCTATTTGAAATTGCCTTGTGGCTTGAATTAAAAAGAGTTAATCGTTACTGAATATGAATCGATAATGTTGATATTTTTTTATCTAGAACCTATCTTGACGAGCAGCATATTTAGTTTAATTGGCGTCTACAAGAAACAGATACAGCTACTTAACAAAAAAAATATTAATGTTGGTACGTGAGGAATTTGTTGTCATTGTAAATCTTCAAATCGATTGTGCACAAGACTTATCTAGCCTGCTGTTCTCATTCTTTGCTATATCAAGAAGAAAATGATAACATCATGGGGTAATTCAGATT